TTTTTCTTTTCTGCATGATCCACAAAGCTGCACGGAAGTTTCCAAAACAGGAAAAGGAGGGAATAGAGAGCAGGACACAAGGTGGGCAGGGGGAGTGGGGAGTCGCACACATGCGTACATGCACACGCACACACCCTGAGGTCAGCACTGGCATAAAGGAGCGCCCGCGGAGGAGAGAATACTGTACTCATTTGGGCTTACAGGTGGCCAATGAGAGCTCAGAAAACTTCGCTCCCTTTCCCCCCTCTTTCCCCCCTTCTTCAGCGAAAGGGTGTATTAGCTTGTCTATTTTTTCCCTAGTTTTTTTTTTTAATACAAACTTGGGTCTTTGGGTGTGTCCTGCCAAAAAAAACCCAAACAACCACAAAGCATTTTTTTAAACTCCCCCAAACAATAGAAAAGCAACTGAAAACCTCAATGAAACCCATGCTGAAATTTGCACATCACAAAACCACAGCAGATGTACAGATGCAATAATATACAATTCATGATTTATAATAAAACATTATATACAATAAATAGATTCTTGTTACTTTTTTGTCAATCTGCAACTAGATTTCTCAGTGCATATCCAGCACAATTAGCTTCTCTCCTGCTTTGACTCTCTGGTCTTCAAAACATTTCAGATTTTGAATGTGTGTGGGTGTGTGTGTATGGGAGTATACATCTTCTTGGTGTTTGCTCTTGTAATTTTTCTTTTTTTTGTTTTTACATTTTTGAAAAGTATTTACAATTGCTGGTTTTCTGCAGATAGAAAAGCCCCGTTTCCCTCAGCCCTCCCTCCCTCCTTGCTTCCAATGGAGAAGACTTGTGAGCTTCTCCAGGTCAGATCCATCCAGCACTAAGGGGGCAGAGAGGGACAGTAACAGAGGAGCTCGGCGGGTTGCTCGGGGGTTTTGCGGCCCCCAGTGTTTTGTTTTCGGTGGGAAACGGGTTCAAGTGGCTCTTTGAGTGTTTTGGGTTGCCTACCCCTGCCCTATACCATTTCAGACAAATGGCTGTCTAGTCTCTTCTTAAAAAGTTCCAGTGTTGGAGCATTCACCGCTTCTGGAGGCAGGTTGTTCCACTGGTTAATTGTTCTAACTCTTAGGAATTTTCCCCTTAGTTCTAGGTTGCTTCTCTCCTTGATTAGTTTCCATCTGTTGCTTCTTGTCCTGCCTTCAGGCGCCTTGGAAAATAGCTTGACTCCCTCTTCTTTGGGGCAGCCCCTGAGATACTGGAAGGCTGCTATCATGTCCCCCCTCGTCCTTCTCTTTATTAAACTAGACATAGCCAATGTCTGACAAATTTCTCTCTCTTTTTTCTTTTAAAGGCAGAACGATTTAACTTTACTGTAGATGGGGATTTCGAGCAGGAGATCAGAAGATGCCTAGCTGAGGTTGATTGTGGAAGTGGAGAATGTCTTTCAACCTTCCAGAGAAAGATTCCTTGAGCCTCACTGATGTGGATCGAATCTTTTTTTCTATAATAACATTTGATTTTTCAAAATCAGCCTCGCTCAACGGTGTATCTTGTGCCTTTCAACCTGGACAAAATTAGGAAGGAATTTGGGACTTGGCTTTGTTTCGATCGGTGTTTCTCAAACTTGGAAACTTTTGAGACATGTGGACTTCATCTCTCAGAATTCCCCAGCCAGCACAGTCCCCAAAATTACGACCAGAATGAAGCCCAGAATTTAGGTTGCTAAGTGAGACATTTGTTAAGTGAGTTTTGCCCCATTTTATGACTTTTCTTGCAACGTTGGTTAAGTGAATCACTGCATTGGTTCAGATAGTAACACGGTTGTTAAGTGAAGCTGACCTCCCCCGTTGACTTGGCTTGTCAGGTCACAAAAGAGGATCACGTGATCCTGGGACACTGCGACCGTCATAAATATGAACCAGTTGTCAAGCATCTGAATGTAAATCATGTGATCACAGGGATGCTGTAGTGATTCTGTGAAAAATGGTCAGAAGTCGTTTTTTCAGTGCCACTGTAACTTTGAACCGTCAGTAAATGAACTGTTATAAGTCAAGAACTACTTGTACGCAGCTTGGTGTCAACGCTGCTGACATCGGATGTTTTTGCATTGACAACAGATGGAGATGCAGCCATTTTCTTCCTTTTGGTTTTAGAGTTAGGTGATGGGGGGGAATGTGCGTGAGAGTCTAGCTAGACATAATAACACTGAACCTAGTGTGAGAACCAAGGTTATTGAAATAAGTGCTGGTAAGAATTGGCAGGCTGGAGAGCTGGAAGGGAAGCCCCTGTTTTAAATTAATTGGGGAATGTGATTTATGACTGTTAACTGGAGGAGGGAATTGTGCTTTGATACTATGTGCTCGGGGGAGGGGAACTCAGTTTTTGGCTTCGATTGTGTTAGTGCCGATGCTATGCTACTCAAATAAAGATTCTTTAAGGTAAACCATGCCTTGAAGTTCTTTGAAGAGTCTCATCTGTCGGAACCATGACAACCATGACCTGCTACGGTAGTTAAGATGTAGCAGCTAATCTTAAAAAGCTAAAAAGAGTCAGATCTGCCTAGGACTTGGATAGAAGCCCACTAGTAATTCTTGGAAAAAACAATATTAAACCACCTTTGCCTTGTTCTTAGGAAAATAACCTAAAGTCACCAAGAGTTAGGCTTGATTCCAGAGGTTTTATTTTCACTTCCTGATTCAGTGTTGTCATGTAAACACAGCTCAGGTAAATCACCCCCAGGCAAGGTTGAGTTCTATTAAGTACCCTGTATGAATATTCCCCATGAGGCCTGGAGTGAAATGTCTGTATTAAGACTTGTCCCAAAGGTGCTTTTCCAAAAGGCAACTGGACTTTTTCAGTTTTCTTTTTTGAAAACATTTTGCTTCTCATTCAAGAAGCTTCTTCTTGTGTTAACTCTCATGACTCTCATGAGAGTCTAGCTAGACATAACAATACTGAACCTAGTGTGAGAACCAAGGTTATTGAAATAAGAGCTGATAAGGATTGGC